CATGTTTTCTTGCTCTGCTCAGATACAGTTGTTTGATCATTGTGTTTCTGGCTTTTGCGTATGAATAGTTTGCAACAGGAAAGTTTAGCAGCTGGGTGAAGCTGTCAGCAAAGCTTTCATCTTTTGGGGGCTGGGGTCCACCCACCAACGTACGCACACAGAGGTACATGTCTGACCTGTGCAGGCCAGCTTGGGGGCACGTAAGGGCGTGACAAATTGGTTTCTGCAGCCAGTGATGTGGCCATAGTCGCAGCTGCTGCCACTCACCCCACAGCTGGACGATGATTATGCTGAGTAAGATCTTCACTGCCTATCCTGCCCAAGGGTTCCATATGCGCTGCGCTGTGTCTAGCAAGACATCTCTGCTGCTCCATTGCTGTCTTTGAGCCCAGGGAGTGAGTCATGGCAAAATGCAAATCTCTGCAACCCAAGGGAGACATTCCCTTCATGGGCTCCAACACATCCGTAGGGCTGTCTTTCACTCCAGGAGATGCCTGTACACATGTTCTTTCTGATTTTAAAGCACTGCTCCTCCCATGATCTCAAAGCACTTTGTGAGCTCTGATGTTAGACTGCACATCTCTGAGACAAATGTCCTCTCTTTGGGAAAGCCGTCCAAAAGGTTTGTGTAGGCTTCCACAGCAGAGCTGAGAAGTCTGCAGGAGCCCTGATTCCCCAGGTCCTGCTCCCAGTGCAAAGACACAAGGCAGCTGGAAACTGGTGTCTCTGGAATTATTCTGAAGGGTTAACAAGGCACATCAGGTTTCCTTGCACTCATGGAGGGAGCCAGAATGTTGCAGCTTCACTCCACAAACTTTTATAAACCTGCAAGACTAGGGCTTAAACAACCATGATTGACTGACGCTAATAGTAAAAGAAATAAAATACTTCTGGCCTAACAGAGCTATTGGCTGTAAAACACCCAGGCAAATCTACCTTGAGTGAAGAAACACAAGAAATGATTGTTTTATGAGAACGCAGCTCTGGTGGGAAAGGTAGCAAATGTTTGCTTTGATGCTGTGTTAAAGTATCCAGTGATCTCCCAGCCCTTGCGGCTCAAACAGTGGTGCCAAAATGGATTGTGTCCTTATGCGACCTTGAAATGATAGTGATGTCTGCGTGCTGCAGATGTTGATCTCTCCTTTCTGAAAGGTGCATTGCGGCCATAGCAAGAGAGCTCTCAGTGCTGGAGGAGGCATCTCTGTTGTACTCCTTGCCATCTTCGTATTTGTAAGCTGATATTTCCAAGCACATCTATGTGGCTGCATAGCCACAAGTCCGGTAGAGGACTGTAATTAAACTTGATGTAATTTATTCACAAGGGTAGATTCATTTATACACCATGGATTTGTCTGTCCTAATCCAAGTCTCCTTGAACAAACAATTCTGAATTTACATCTCATAAATTAGCCAGCATTTTTCCATGGGTGGCATGAACTCAGGCAGCAGCGTAAATATGCTGCAAGTTTAATACCTCCCTACCAGTAAAATAACCTCCTTAGACTCTCTCCAAACTTGCGCATATCTCAGCTTTTGATGGGCCACCAGCAAAAACTGTTATGCTTGTGCATTTTTCTTGAATTTGGATGTGCGTATTTTTTCTTGATGACCTGGCCTCTCATATATGTCCTGTTGTTTGGAGGTGAATAGTACAGCCTGTGTCTGCTGCCTTTGATGTTACCTTCATAACCACTGGAAACTGTGGTACCATGTTTTCTTACAATTGAATTGGGTGTGAGTGATGAAGAGTGGCTGGAAGGATTAGTAACAACCAAGCTGTCTCCCTTGAGATATTAGTGGAAGCTGAGAGGGAGAAGGATGTGCTTGATCATTAAACAGGAGGGGAATAAGGATTCTCTGGAGAAGACTCAAAACAGGATAACTGACGCCTTCTGGTAAATCTTTGTGGTAAAATAACTCCAAATGTTGAGGTGAACCTTAGACTTGTTCCCCTAACCCTCAACCTGTTTTGTAGACCACTGTGTAGATTATGGATGAAGAATAGTTTCCCAAGCTCTGCTCAAGTAGGCAGCCTTATAGACAGGTGATGAGTGGAAAATCTGAAAAGATGTGGTTGTAGCGAACAACTGATGAAAGGTATGGAGGAGAAGGAAGATGAGCAATTACCCATGGTCAGCCACAGGGAACACTACACTCTTGAATTTGTAGAGCTGTGGGCCAGCTCAGATTGGCTGTGGGAGATAACTTGGAGGATTGTCTTGCTCGTGTTGCAGTACGTTTAAAAAAAAAAAAAAAAAAAAGGAGGGGGGAGTGATGGTGGATAGTGAATGTAGGAATGTCGTCGTTCATGTGTGAAAAAACCTTGCCTGCAAATACAGAGGGGTCCCAAGAGACAAACCATGCTATAGCAGTGTATCTCCAACATAGCCTTGCCATCAGTGTTTTCCTTTCATAGTAAAAACCCTGCTGATCTCTGTTCTTGGAGAAAATGGATCTAAACCAAAAACCCCAAAGGGCCACTTGTGGTTATATTGGCGAGCTATGGCATTGGAATAATATTGGCCTTTCAAGGCAGTTAAACAGTATCAATGTACATTTGGCTTCCAGAAATGCAATTACAAGGGATAAATGATTATGCAATTTGCTGAGACATTTCAGTGAGTTCATTGGATTGTAGCTTCAGTATTAGCCATGTATTAAGCAGAGGAATCTGTGCAATTTTCAGTGCCATTAGTTCGGGTTTCAGAGGGTGCAGGCACATGGAAAGAGTCCATTAGATAGGGTAGGAGGGCACATGCCCTTGCATTTATCACTCTCATCTCTTGGCCATGGTGTTGACTTTTAGGTGGGAGTTACTTTTTTTTTTTCCTGGAAGTTGCAGGAAATGCGACCAAAAATGGTTATTTAGGAGCAAAGTATGTCTGAACTTAAGCAAACCACAAGGGTTTGCTCCCTTGTGACCTTCCAGGGGCTCTCAGCACTGGGACAGGCATTGCAGAATGAGGTAACTTCTCTATGGAGCCACTTCTGCAGGGTTTGTCACTACTCTGTGTGTCTTATAACAGATTTGCCTGGCAAAAGTAACTCATGGCTGGTTGTGGGGTTGTTTTTTTCTCCTTTCCTCTTTTTCCCTGCCTCCTTGTTCCCTTTTCCTCTTTTCCCAATGTGGACTGCAGGTGTGGGCTGCTACAAGTAGGAGACAGAGTCCTTTCTATCAATGGCATTGCGACTGAGGACGGGACTATGGAAGAAGCTAATCAGCTTCTGCGTGATGCTGCGCTCACGAACAAAGTGGTGCTTGAGATTGAATTTGATGTTGCAGGTATGTTGGCAAAGGAATTGCTGCTCCTCACTACCATCAGGACTCTGCCAGTGCCTTTGCTATCATGTAGGAGGGAGTCTATTCACACAAATATGTGAAGTTTTCACTAGAGCTCACAGGGAAGAGCGAGAAGACCCTGTGAGGACCTTTCCCATTTCTTGTTGTTGTCTAATGTGCACTGAGATGGAGGGTCTTTCTGATCCTTTCATAAATGCCTTGTGCTCACCACTTGGCTGAGATAAGCCTAAGGAGTAGACGAAGAGGCCACCTGCACTTTAAATATTTGCCCATTATTATGAATAATACTTATATTAATTTATAGCCTTGAAGCAAGGAGGCACCCAAAGCTATTGGCTGGGGCTAAAGTGCCGCTTTGGAAAAAAAAAAAAGTTTTCTTTCTTTTGCATTGACAGAGCTGCCTCAGTCTTGAAACACAGCCTGATGTGAGCACTTCACTCGATGTTCAGAGTATGTATTTTTAATGAGAATCCAAATTTTAACCTAAAGTCTGCAGGGCCTCAGATAGCAACCTTATTTGAACCAATAAAGCTGAGTTTTATGGGCTTTTATTTCTTGGTTCCAAAGAAACCATCCATACAACTGAAAACTCTCTTTTTTTCTCTTATTTTCTTTCTTGTCTGTTTTTGGTTTTATAGAGTCTGTCATACCCAGCAGCGGTACTTTCCACGTTAAATTGCCCAAGAAAAGAGGTGTAGAGCTTGGAATTACAATCAGCTGTAAGTATTGCTCAGGCTTGCGCTAGCACTTGCAAGAGCTGCTGCTTTCTACCCTGATGCATCAGAGGGGCCCAAAGGAGAGAGATAAGATTACGTTGCCTTTCTTGGTAGCACTTGCTGTGCTTGTGGTTTATCCCAAACTGAATTAGATGCATGGTTCCTGCCTCCACAAGCTGGTGGCTGCAGAGAAAAGCAGCTGCATGAAGGACTGGGGCAAAGGATGCGTCTCAACTGTTCAGCTGGTCTGTGCCACAGACTAATATTATATTATATTATTGATAATATTATTTTTATTTCCTTACTCACAGTTATATTATGTTCCTTTTAAAAAAGAATTGTCTAGGTCTGGTGGGACCCTTGCAGGGAGAGGTGGAGGGAAGAGAGCAAGTGTGAGGTGAACCCACAGATTGAAGGGTAGAGAGGGGAAACTGCCAATAGGAGGAGGAGGATGAAGAGGGTGGCAGGCCTTAGAGGTGGGGTGAAAGCATTTTAGGGACAGGAGCATGCTGGGCAGGGTTTGCTGGGAGTCGTTGCACTGACTAACCCCAGCCATAGAGGAGATCAACGTGCCAGGACTTGGTGTGTACTGAGACAACGAGGCATAAACCTTTTTGTTTCTTTTCTCTCTTCTCTGCTCACTCTTGATTAATTATCTTTTTTTCTCTTCTGAAGCAAATTTTTCATTTAAAGACTTTTTGGCCTCTTTGGAGAGGATGCTGTAGGCAGATCCATCCCAAATTTCTGGCTATCTTGGGGTCTTGTTAATGCCTTGTGTCAGTGAATTTTTTATTTATGGCAAATGTGAGCAGGTCTCTTTCACTGCTGGGTACACTGAGTTGAATCATCTCAGATTTGCCGTGCCCAGAGGCTGCCACCACTTCTCAGCTGGGAAACAAAGCAGCTTGTGAGACTGCAGTGATGGGATCTTGCATCTAAGCCCTCAGGAGCATGGACCCAGCTGTGTCTGGGGAATGGAGTCACTAGGGACGCTTTAAAACTAGGCTTCATTAAAATAGATAAGCTATTTGTAATTACCTCTTGGCATTTACAGCATTAGTTAGTGAGTTAATTAGAGGTGTTCTGGTCTAAGTGGAGTGATTCTCAGGAGTGACTTGAACATCAACAGGATGATGGCTTTGCACCCTGTGTTATTTCTTTTCCCTCTTCCCGGCTTCCTCTATTTCTGCCACAAGGGTAATCCTGAGAAATAACAGCACAGTATTTAACATTTGACTTGGTAGCAATTACTGCCTGAAGACATCAAAGTGCTTTCCGAAGGCAGCGGGGTGCCTGTAACGATGTTTCACTGGTGGGGGAGCAGGTCACAGTGCAGCAGCCAAACCTGCACTGGATTCCCAACCTGCTGCCCTGCCCAGTGCATTGGCATTGCAATCTTAGGTAGCAACCTAGGATGATGGATCTGGTAGCAAAAAATTTCTGGTTTGAGCATGCCCAGGGTTTCACCCCATTTAAGCTTCAAAGCTTAGTTTGTATCTGGGGCTGGAGAGCAAATGAACCTGGGAGTTGCAGGCAATATTAGTTTTTATTTGTGGAGTCTCACTTAAATGGGATCTGCTTCAGATGTGCATTTACACTTCAAACATATTTTTATGTTGAAAATACTTTCGTTTAAAAAATTGATTTCACACACTTTTTAGAAATCACTGCTAAATCAAAAGAAACTGACCCCTGGGTTTTAAACAGTTAGATACCCGTTTTCCAACTACAAAGCAGTTTTTAAACAATATAATAGATTTGATCTTTTTGATTGTTGAACGTGTTTGCAGGACATAGTTTAAGTAATGCATACGCATAAATTTAAGATATATTTCAGTCCTTTGCTGAGTCAAAGCCAAAATTATATTTACAAACGGAGCAAAAGACAGCCATCCAGAAAATGCAGTGGCAAGGATGAAATGCTAGTTGAATCCTAATTCTGTTTTCATATATTAGTCTATAAAGCCTGTGTCCACATGACCCTTAGCAAATTAGATCATCATTTGGTCACTCTGCCGCTGACCAGGCAGATAAATATACCAGTTTCAAACATTAAAACCAAAGCAAGCAGCCTTATGGTAAGTACCTCCTGCAGAGACATGATGTGCATGCAGGAGTGTGATGCAAGCAGCAAAAGAAAAGAGGCAAAAATAACTCTTCTCTGTTTTGCTCAGTTCCTCCTAGTTCTGCTGATTTGAATGCCTGTATAGATCTAGAAACAGCTTTTACAGCTTTCCTTCTGACAAGGAGGAAAGCATGTAACTACTGTTTCAAAGCAGGGGGCTTGGTTTACTGGCCCCCCACATTGAATTTCTGCTCTCTACTGTGTAAAACTGGGATAGGTTTAAATAGCTGACAAGCTAGAGGGGTCAGTAGAAGACCCCCTGCACTGTTGTGGCCACAGAACTCTGTACAGAAACTTTTGTGGTCCAGCTGCACTGCAGATGAAGGATGAGTTGCTTTTGTTGAGTTTTACCGCTCAGCTTCAGCAGGCTCATCTGTAGTTAAGTCCTCTGTCTAGGAAGGTTTGCTGCTGCCTTAGATGGGCAGAAAGTGTTACGACCTCATCAGAGGAGCTCTACAGAAATAAAAGCGATCAAGTTCTTGCTGTGCTGTGGCTCTCACAGCTAATTGAGAGATGGGCTAAGTAAAGGCAGGGAGAGCAAGATTCTTGATGGATGCATTGGAAGAATTCATGTAATGGAGCTGGCTGCAGGAGGAACCATAAATCTGCTGGAAAGCCTCATAAAAGCTCTGAAAACCCAGGAGGTTTTTTTTGTATGGGGAGGGCGGGCACTGCTGGTTCTGGGATGAACATACAGAGAGGGACTGTGCTTGCTTTTGGTGCAGCGCAGATGTTTGCTGAGGGCATTTCATCTTCTCTGAGGTCTCAGGGTTTTCCAGAAAGAGAAGACATGGGCTGGACGAGCCCCTGGTTGTGGTCTGTGCACACAGATGGGTTTCTTCCCCCTGCTCAAACACAGTGTGGCAAAGGGATGCAGCAAATCAAGATGCGTGATGCAAATATATGTATGTAACCTTATTTCCCCTTCCATTCCCAAAGAATGAAAAGGAATTCCAAGGGGTGAGTCTCTCACTGTGCTTTGTGTTTCTGTGGCACCTTGGCGCCTTCAAGCCTCATTTCGGTATTTACGTTTGCTAAAAATGATCAGAGGGCTGGAGCGCCTCCCCTGTGAGGACAGGCTGCAAGAGTTGGCGTTGTTCAGCCTGGAGAAGAGAAGGCTCCAGGGATGCCTTATAGTGGCCTGCCAGTGCTTAAAGGGGGCCTATAAAAAAGATGGGGACAAACTTTTTAGCAGGACCTGTTGCAATAGGACAAGGAGTAATGGTTTCAAACTAAAGGAGGGTAGATTTAGGCTGGATATAAAGAAGAAATTTTTTACAGTGAAGGTGGTGAAACACTGGCACAGTCTGCCCAGAGAAGTGGTAGATGCCCCATCTCTGGAAACATTCAAGGTCAGGTTGGATGGGGCTCTGAGCAACCTGATTCAGCTAAAGGTGTCCCTGCTGACTGCAGGGGGGTCGGACTAGGATGGCCTTTAAAGGTCCCTTCCAACCCAAACTGTGCTATGATTCTGTGATTCTAAATTAAAATTAGCAAAGCAAAACACCGAAGCTGCCTTGTGTGTGCTGCTTCCACATGCTTCGTCCAGGGGTGAAGGGACAAGAAGCGAGCAAAACTGCTCTCGTTTTCTCCATACTCATGCCTCAGTTCCTGTCCCAGGGAGAAAGCTGTATTTGTTTGTAAACTGCTCTGATGGAAGAGCAAAGTGTGCACTCCCTTTCTGCTCTGCATGGTTCAAAGAGCTGTGTGGGATGTGAAGCTCATTTGTTTGCAGGGACCTCTGGGGTGCTCTGAATGGTGGGGATGCAAAGATGTGCAAACGGAGATTTTTGACATGGGAATGTAAAGATTTGGCTCTCCTTAGCCTGAACTACTCATCTCCATTAGCAGAACATGTGCCTTAAGTGTTCTGATCTTGGTGGCTGCATTCAGTTCTAATGATACAGTTATGCCTTTGTAGGTTTTCTGTAAATCTCTTACAAATTAAAATCTCCAACAGCGAGAAGCTAATAGTTGTGTATTCTTGTATGTTCAATACCTGACCTCTTAAAATAAGATATGGATTTGTTATTAGCCTCTGGAAAATGATAGTTGATTACACAAAAGATTGCTTTTTGTGTTTGGTTTGTTTTTTTTTTTTTGTCTGTCTCAAATAGCCTCTCCAAGAGCTAGTTGTGAAATTTGCTGCAGTGAAGTGTTGTTGCTCTTTAAACAGATGGTGAAATTATCATTCATTTTAGATATGCATTAATGCTTTATATAGCATGTTTATCAAATTACCTTTATATATCTTAACAAATCAATTCCTGTGCCCTTGGCGTGAAGTACTGTAGATAAGGAGTAGGTACTATATCTGCTTGCGGGCGATAAAACTGGAATTTGGATAGATAGATAACTTCGATTAAATCGCTTAAGCAGTGTAATCACAGTTCTAGTGAGAAGATGGATCTGTGAGCCGAGCAAATCTAGCTTTGCTGGTGCTGGATTAACCTGGGACCTGCCACCAGCCCAGCAGAGTGTGTCTGCAAGCAGCAGTGTGCCTGGCAGCCTCCTGTCCTACCCCCTCGCTAACACTGCACCTTCAGCTGAGATTTGCAGCTGATTCACTCTGGTGCTTTTACCAAAGTGGGATATTATGTCCTGGTTTTGCTACTTGGAGATTTTAAAAGGAAATAGATCTGCGATGGGGCAAATATGCTGCTGGAGGCACTGATAATTTATGCACCTGCTGCTAAAACTAATGAACAATAGAGGAAAAAGTTGAGTACTAGGGATTTGATTTTTCACTGCTGCTTGTTGTAATTGATTCTGATTTGCTTTTATTTCTCTTTTCATTCCTTAGGTATCCTGAGATTATTTGGTTTCTGATTTTGTTTTTTTCCAGTTTATAAACGCTTGCTTTCTTAAATGTATTCTTATGGCATTATTACCATTTCTTTAATTACACATTGGCAGAGTGCTGCTTTGTCTTGGTCAATAATGAAGGGCATTTATAACGGGTTGATGCGTTTGAGATATGTTCTCGTGCTCCTTGGAGGGGAATAATTTACCAATACGAGTCATTATGCATTCTATTAAAAACACAAACTGGACATGTGTTTCTGGCCTCATCATCCATCACAGAGTAAATGCCAAACGAGCCAGAATCCCAGCAGAGATGGCGAGAGACTGAAAGCAATTTATAAAAAGTAAATAACAGTATTGATCAATTCACCTTTTTATCACTGCCCTGTCACCACCACCAAGCAGTGTTTTCATTTTGAGTTTCTCGCCCACCCCATGCTTCTACCTTCACCAGCTGTTGATTTATGGAGCTTTCTCTGGGCCACTGGAGCAGATTTAAACTATCTTTTGTACTGGTAAACCTGGAAAAAATACAAATGTATCTGAAAAAGAGCCTGCTTCTGAAGTGGTTTGCCCTGGCAGATGGATGCCACAACCAGAGTGCCTGCAGAGAAAGATCATGTGTTTCTGCACACCAGCCTCTGCCTCTGTGCCTCGATCTTTCTCTTCATTTGACTCCCTTTGTTACCATCTCCATTTTAGAGATGGGAAAGCAAGACCTGGAGGCAAGGCTGGCTGCCCGAAATGTGTCTTCCTGCAGCGAGCAGAATTACCAAAGCAGTGTCCTTTGAAGAGAAATAACCACATCAACAGCAGAAACAAATGGATAAAGAGGCTTTACTCATCTGTGCAAGTGTCTTAACTCCAAAGACCACAGCCCTAATAAAATAAGAATGTAGTTTAAAGTTTGTTTTGTTTTTTTTTTTAATTTCAGGCAAACTGGAAATGATTTATCCAAAATCTCACCAGGGATGTACATATGTAATGCCTCTGACCTAGACTGAGCCACCACTTCAGCTCTCTCACCTGTAGACAGGCGGCTGTTAATCAGAGGCATGTTGACACCCTGTGTGAACAGCCCAAGCCTGTTAAAAATGTGGGTCCCAGGGTGCCTGGGGTGATCGGGGACAGCATGGTCCCAACTGATGGCACAAAGCCCAGCTGTGCGCTCTGCTGGGGTGCCGGGAAGGGCGTTGGGATGCCAAAGGTGAATTAATGGAGTTAGTAACTACTGGTTTTTAAAACAACGATTGACTGTTCTGTACTTTGAGATTTCATTATCTTAACTTCATATCTTATGCCTCTTGAGAGAGAACAATTATTCATTAAGTCTCTCTAACTTACCCTTCAGATTTGTAGGTGCTGACTAGTAATGATGGTTTTATAAAGCCTTTCCATTTTATACTAAGTGATTATTTAAAACAGAGGGCTGCCATTCATTAAAGTGTGGGTACCCTGATGGTAGGGACAGTTGTATGTGGTTGCACATGGCTCTTCCATTTAACTGAAGTCTCAAGAAAACCTGTTTGGAAAATACAACTCCCCCCAAAAAACGCAAACAAACCCCACGATGATTATTCCTTAAGACTTGCTTTGCTTCCTAACAGACAGAGCACTTGGTTTGTCACCCATGCTTCTGACACGGGAAGTTTGTGCTGCGTTCAGTGCCAACACCAATTGCAGAGCTGCAGAAGGACAAGATCTCACTCTGCTCAGAGACTTAGGGTGGGCAAGATTCCCCTATGTGTCTCAGGGCTTGTAAGGCAGATGCTGAGTTAAACACCATTTCTGCAGACCCTGAGGCATGTAGTTGTCAATACTTGCTTTTTTCTTTCCTTTTTTTTTTTTTTTTTTCCTTTCCCCCCTCTTCGCTCTTTTGAGTGTTCATGGTCTCTGGACACATCATTCCAGCTGTGGCTGGGTCGGATTTAGAGATGGCCATCCCCAGCCCACCACCAGGACTGTGGAAATCCTCCCTAACCCCTTTCTGTCATGCTGCCTCTGCTTTGAAACCAGTAAACAAACCTTGCAGTGAAAAGTATTTTTACTAACCTGGATCGTTTTGACAGAACCAGGCTAGGGAGCAATTAAACATGCAGTGATGCAGGCCTGACCCAGGGCTTAAGGTGTGCTAACAGGTTCTCCCATCACTGCTGCTCAGACCACTGCATTGTACACTTCTCTCAGCAGCAAATACATCTCCTATATTGAAAAAGAGAACAGCAATAGTAATAACAGGGTGATACATCTCTGTCTCCTGTGCTGTTAATCCATGGTGTGTGGCCTTCGCAATCAGAAGGGGGATTTCTGCATTGATTTTAGCTGACGCACCCCATTCTTCCCTCCCACCGCTCAGCTCTGCACAGTGTGTGGCAGTCTATCTGTTGGCTGATCTGTGGTGTGGACAGGTTGAATATAGGCATGAGCCCTCGGTGAATCTCCACAACTCATCCACTTCTCTTTCACCTGCAGCTGCAAGCTGAACAGGAGTGTCCAGACCAAAATTGCCTGGCATTATGCTCCAGTAAGACATGGGGAAAATAATTCTTTCAGGCTCTGTATCATTCAGCAGTTGCATTGCCGTGACTATTATAAAATCAGTCAGGTCTGATCTTTGTTGTCTGACCTAACTTTTATACTCAGCACTGCTACGACTGAGATTGGCTGTCTTTTTGCTCCGTTCAATACAGAAGGTTTAGTTATATCTGGGAGAGGGTATCCTTAAAGGTGATAGGTTAACACATATGTTTTTAAATCTCACAAATGAACGTAAACAACAGAAAAATCTAGAGCAGAGAGGTTGGTAAGGGGAAGCACTTATTTCTTTATGTCTGACTCTCTGGGGTGTTCTCTAACTGCTGTTCAGACAGGTGGATCTCTGTGGTTGATGCCACATGCCTCTCAAATATTTTAATCTCTGACCTGCACCCGATATGTTGAGATGCTTCAAGTTTCTTCCTTCCCACGCAGTTTTTGCTGAGAAGCTCTGTCAGCTTTAAATGAGATGATGCAATTCCCATAGCAAGGCAGGAGGGAGTGGCGTGGGGTGAAAAGGGTGCTCTTCGTATAGGTTTGGGCTGTGGATGGCAGAGAGGTCAGGAGGGGTTTGAGTCATAAATCTCTCTTGGATTTCTCAAGAGAACAGCAGGTCTTGCAGGCAAATTTGAAAATGCAAATGCTCCCAGAGATGCGTACTCACGTCTCTCGTGGGCTGAAAAAGTTATCAGGGTCAGGCAGGAGAGGAACTGGAAACCACCCCTTCCAGCTCCAGCACTGACACCAGCCCCGATTTATCTGGTTGTATGACGAAGTGGCCTGGGGAGCTGAACCAGCTGGAAAACAGTGTTTTACCTAATTTTTCCTGGGTTATTTTCCACTTGCAAAATTTCCAAGCTGTAAGAGCACAGAAATGCTTGTATTAACCACAGTGCTGAGCTAGGTACTCCCTAGGCAGCAGTCTAATTTCTGTCTACTGCCACAGCCGTTGATTGACTTGCTGTCTTGTGTCAGAGATGTAGGTGAGGGGGTGTTGAACAGTGCTGGGATCGGGCAATCCTATGTCTTGCTGCTGGACACCACATGTCCACTTCTTCAGAAGGGGTCTGAAGGAAGCAGCTAGCTCACTTGGGCAAAGGGCAACCAATAAACTTCTGCAAGGCTTTACTTTTCTGGTTTTTTTTTTTTCTTCGCGTGTCTTCCAGAGTTCAAGTGTGAAGCATCATTCTGTCAAAGGAATATAAATTCCTTTTCCTCATGACTCCTTCTACCCATTAACCAGTCCTGTCCTAGATAGCAGACTCAGTACCAAGCTTTGTAACCGTGTGTCTCTTTTACAGCTGCAAGCAGAAAGCCTGGGGAGCCTTTGATCATCTCTGACATCAAGAAGGGGAGCGTAGCGCATAGGTGAGTGCAGAATTTTCCATCTGCCAAACGCTTTGTAAAATGTCCAGCCCAGTAATGAGAGATAGAAGGAAGCCCAGGGAGACTAGCACTTGGGTCTGGATTTTGCCAGCATCCAAGGAGATCTCAACCCTAGAGGTTTGTCTTAGACAACAGTAGGGTTTGCAATAAAAACTGTCTGTTTTTAGAAGCAAGTAGACTTGAGCTAATGGAGAAGGTGGCCAGGGCACTGATTCAGATGTCTGCTGACCCTATAGGAGATGAATGTTTAGCATTTAAGAGCATGTGGTAAAGGGCTTCATATATCCCACAAGGTGCTATGGCTCATCAGGTAGTTTGCCATGTTTCAGCTTCTGCTCAGGTGAACAGAGTGAGTGAATTGTGGGCACTGGTGGAGAACTGTGCAAATAATTCAGCATTTATTGACTTCACCTCTTATCCCAACACCTCCAGCAAGGCTTTCAGAGGAATTTAGCACTGCTAGAGGGCTTGTTTCTAAGAGTGCTCGTACAGGAGTTTCCATAAGAGGTAGAATACCTGTCAGTTAAACACCAGGCATTTTTCAGTGCTGTAGGTTACCCAGGCTGTGTATCTAATCTTTCTGCCTTGTTCTGTGTTGATGCGCACTCTACAGAAACTTCCTCTTTTTAAGTTGCAGTTGTCCCAGACTCCATTCGTGATTGTTTCCCAGAAAAGACCAAGGACAGCAAGAAGTTAATGTTGTCATTGCCACTGCAGGACTGAATGCATTGTGGGATCTGAAAGGCAAATACAAATGTACTTTTAGTTTTCTTTTCCTTTGCACGTAGAACTGGCACCTTGGAGCCGGGAGACAAGCTGTTAGCCATTGATAACATCCGACTCGACAATTGCTCAATGGAGGATGCTGTGCAGATTTTAAGGCAGTGTGAAGACCTGGTCAAATTGAAGATTAGGAAGGATGAAGATAACTCTGGTACAGAAATCCTGATGCAAACTGGTGCCTGTCCACTGTAATGACATTTCCCAATAGGTAGTGCAAACTAACAAAGATAAGGGCTGCCGCCTGTCCAGTCACTACTTGCCAATTGATTATAGTCTATTTTTGTTATTCTGCCCTTAAATGGAATCTGGAAGGTTAAAATCCTGTTTGGTATAAGCATGGCTGAAGACCTCAGGGTTTTGCTTCTAAATGCTGCAAGTCTTTCCTATGATCTCTTTCATATGACTAATCAAAAAATTCAGCATTCCTGTTTTCTCTTTCAGATGAGCAGGAGACAACCGGTGCTATTATCTACACAGTGGAACTGAAGCGATATGGTGGCCCCTTGGGAATAACCATCTCCGGGACGGAGGAACCTTTCGATCCTATTGTCATTTCAGGCTTGACTAAACGAGGGCTGGCAGAAAGGTAAGGTTTGGGGGCAGAGGGGTTGAACTGATGTGGGAAGGGATCTTGAACTTTGCAAAGTTTCCTTTGCGGTCATAATTTCTTAGGTGTTTTAGTCTGCTGAAAAGGAAAGGTGCTATGAAAGTACCAAGCGCTATGAAGGAGGATGGTTGGAACTGTGCTCTTAGGGCAATGAGAGAGGCACAAAGCAGGGCACTTCTGGAAAAGTCAGATCCAGTGCGCCAGTTGAATGCAGCATCCAGGAACACGTGTTTATCTGCCTCTTCCACAGAGGTGCTTCCTGGTCTGTGATTTCCCACGCACATCTTGTGTAGGTAGAGTGCCCAGCCTGCCCAGAAAACCACAGTAGACTCCTGTCAAGGACTCACCTATTGC